GAGGAACGCTGACAGGCCGTGGATGAGTTTAGGGGGTAGGAGGGTGAGTAATTCAGTGATGGGACTGTGGACTGAAACTATAGCAGGGGTGGGGGGGTATGATGAGGAAGAGGAGGAGAAAGAAGGGAAGGATGATGAAGGGGCTCATGTGCCTGGTACTGTTTATGTGGTGTTAGGCGGTGGGGGACATGGTTACGTAAAAAGGCAAAGAAGGGAGGATGAGAATGAGCAGACAAGACAGCGTAGGAGTCTCACAGGTCTCCTAAAGCCAAGCAAGCAAACAGTCACCTTCCCAGAAACAGAAGCCCATACTCGTTCAGCTGCTGCTTTCATCCTCCTTAAAATGAATGCAAGGAGCAGGATAAGAGACCCCTCTGTCCTGGTGCCTCTGCTGTTATTTCCTCTTCCCCGGAGTTATCATGTGCTTCCCCCCCTCCAGTCACCAGCACAGCAGCTGGAGCAGCAGCAGCTACTGTAAATGGAAATGAGGCAATATGGATGAAGAAGCTCCTGGCTTCAAAATCCATGATGGCTTTACACAGCTCACAAGGAGAGGCAGCAGGTTATTGATGCATCTGTGGATAATGACTCCAACGATAGTTAAATGTCAGGTACAGAGATAGATTTGCAGCTCTATCGATGTTATGTTGCACAGGTTTCTACAGAATAGATCAGAATAGATCCACTAATGTCTTCTTGTGCCTTTTTATGTCCCCAGTTGTTAATTCCTGCTATTTTACAGAAACAATAAAGTATCGATACCGTTTCTTGTCAAGACAGGCCGATGGAAAATCTAATTTAAAAATAAAATTATATTTGGATTCAGTTCACCAGGATGTACTCAGTAGGCTGCATTACAGCCAGTTAGCTTAGCTTAGCACAAAGACTGGAAACAAGAGGAAAATGGTAGCCTGACTCTATTATACAAAGGTAACAAAAGTCATCTAAACCGCTTATATCTTATTTCATTTGAAAATATAAGATCTTTGTGGCGGGACTAAAATATTTCTCTTGTACTCTCACATTTTTCTTTAACTTTTCTTTTTAAGACAATAAGATCTCGAGGTTCTACAGAGAAAGACTTGATAAGGAGTTTTTTCTTTTGACTTCTTCTTAGTCCAATCTTTACGTGACCTCGGGGGCAATTGAAACATGCATGTGAAAGTGGATCATACTTCCTTTCTTTGTTAACCAGGGTGACAGCAGCTTTCAATAACCGGATGGAAGAGGCTGCGAAGAATTATTGCGATACTCGGTTAAATCTCAGGTGCGGGAGGACGGCTGAGAGACGTGAGTCAGATAGAGAGCGGGATGTGTTATATTGTGTGATATACTGTTGCAGAGACCATGAAAGTAGCTGCAGCCAGAAGGAAAGTGCTCTTTTGTCTCTGATTAATGTACACACATTCAGGCCCCTCCCGTCCCCTTTCTTTGGCTCGTGCTACTCATAGACCATTTGGGTCAAATTGCTTTCGGCATTAAGTCAGAATCAGTTCAGCTGAATCCGGTGTGCTTGTTCATGTGTGCATAGTGTGCTGTTCTTATTCTTTCATTATAAGGACTAATGGATATCTTTAAGTGTAAATAGTGTCAAAGTGCGTTAAAATGTGTTTTCAACTCAACACAAATGCATCGCGGCCACGCGTCCGCATGTGTGAAGTTTGCGTACATCGTGTGCGATATCATATTTGTCTCGAGTTACTCACGCCCACTGACTCTGAGAGTTAGCCTTGAGGGCAACGGAGAGAATGGAAAGACGACAAGAGAGCCGTGAATAGCAAGGCCGAGAGAGAGAGAGACAAACAGTCCGACGGAAAGAAAGAGAGGGAGGAGAGAGGACAGAAATGAAAGGGAGTAAGAGGAATGGATGAGACTGTCTGACCAGCTGTACTGAACATGCTCATTCACCATGTGATGAGAAGAACCAGTGGCTGGTGAGCCGCATAACAGGCGGCCGTGAAATCAGCTGTGCTAGCTCTCATTCTCCACCATGCTGGCAACTCACTCAATAGCTCATTAACTTCTAATAGATGTAGACGTGGAGCGGCCATGGGAGGGAGGTGATGAATGGCCGGAGCTGGACCAGGGAGCGTGCAGCACATGCTCCTGGTCAGCTCTGGTTCCTGCTTGTTTGGCTTCTGCTCAGTTGATTCTTCTTCATCTTTGTTATTTCGGGGGAGGGAGCAGATTTTTTTTTTTAATAACCCACTGTTTTCAAAGCGTAAGCACTAAACTTAAAACAAGTTTATAGCACCGACATCACACAAGTTGAATTTGACAACTCGTCAGAATCCTGCACAGTCGGGGTCTGTGATATTATTCAAAATATGTTTACACTTATAAAACTGTGGTTTAGATATGAGGAATTTATAATCCAATAACAAACCATCAGTATCTTACACAGCTGTTTTTTATGTCAAAAGATATGTTAGATAAAAAGAGAAGAAACGGGAACAGTTATTACTCAGTGCCAGAACCTGAAAGTTATTATCTATTTCATATTAGGTACTTTTTCTTAATTGTTTTTATAACTAGAATAGTACATTTAGCACATTGCTCACACTCATAGATATCAGTCCCCTAAAAATGCCTAAATATTTTCATCAAGATCCTTGAATTATTCCCTGGGACATTTGTGAAAAAATAAAAAATCACCCTATCTGGCACTGTTAAAGAAAGTGCTAAACATGTCCTGGATCAGCACAAAAATCAAATAGGTTTTTTTCTGTCGCATCCTTCCACCAAGATTCATGGAAATCTGCTCTGTAGTTTTTTGTGAATCCTGTTGACCAACAAACAAACCAAGAAACCAATCGACAGGCAGGAGTAACATTACATCAATATATTGTGTTTTACTGGGAAATAATCCAATGATATTAAATAGAACAACATAAAAGTGACAGGGTGTCATTCAGGTGCATGAATACTTTTAGTATCTCACATTGTTGAAAAGAAAATGTCCTGGATCTGAACTTTGTGTACTTTGCTCCTGCAGTTTCAGTTTGTAATCACCTGTGGTTTCCTGCCGTTGTCCATTATCTGAGGAGCAGAGCTTGGTGAGGGTAACGACTGTGAATCTGCACCGTTTCAATTAGGAGGGATGGGACATCAGTCTCCTTGACAGTCCTACTTTAAAAAAGAGAGTTTATTAAATCATCTAAAATGTTTTTGTTTCATGAGGAGAGGTCAGGAATCGTCTGATGATTTGAGTAATAATTCATCGTGAGCTTGGTTGTCATGCCCGACATTATTTAGCTGGGAATAGACGTGATATTTTTTAAATAGATTTCCCAGGGATGTGTCTTTTTTTTTGTTGTTGTTATTTTTTAGCTGGAAGCTTTTTCCACCAACAAACACCTCTGCCAGCCAGATGGCCCTGTTTTTGTGGTGTTTTTGTTTTTAGAATTTTGACAAAACAAGCAGATGAAGGCGATGCCGTGTAGAAGCTGTCAGGGGCATCGCACGTAAACAGTGTAATGGCTGTAGGTGGTAAACAAAAATCCTGATCGACTCCAATGTTTCCATCCATCAAAACGCAGAGAACTTCTCGGGCAACCGTCTGGCGTATCTTGTAGAAACAGGCACAAACATAACATCCTCCCGACCTCATTAGCAGAGTTAATAAAAGTCTCCATCTGTGGGGGGGGGGGCGTTGTTATTATAAGTGTCAAACCACAGTGTGAATGAAAACGGTCCAATCCTGGGTGACCCCTGTGGAGCAGTGATAGGTGACACCATTGGGTGCCAGACATAAATTATGTTGCATGTTTCTGGCTCATTTTTATTTCCCGTGGGATTTGTGTTGCACAGTGTGTTGTGTTGGATGTCTACTGTGAGCAATATGATGGGATGAAGGGATATTGAGTTCTGGATCAATATTTGACGCCTGCATCGATCACAGGGTTTACGTCCAGGAGTGTGTGTGTGGTTTGCATTATTTATCAGTTACAATCAATTTTGGATTTGTGGGACTTTCAAAACTATTGGAAAATATAACAGCGTTGGACCTAGCATATAGCAATGTTAGCACTGAACACACACTAACTTAAACGTAAAAGCAAAATGCTACATAGGAAATGAAATAGCTTGAGAACTTGAAACAGCTAAATGTATAATAGGTGCCAACATAACAAAGATGGGGAATATAGAAACTCTTCTGTAAACATGGATACACCACATGGTCGAGCTGGATCATAGACTGTATGTAAAAATGGACGACGCGTCTTCACCTCCCCCTGCTATCCAAAATGGAGTTAAAATATCCAGGATGTGAACGCCTTCAACTTGCGCATTTTGAGTTTGCACAGTGGTGGTCAAGGGATGGAGCTGCAGTATTGAGGTCGCGCCCTGGGGATTCATGACTTACACTACAGTCAGCCACCAGGTAGTGATCGAGACTCTTTGGCTTCACTTTCGGGGAGCTGTCATGTCGTCCATCTTTATTTCCAGTCTATGGGTAAATAATGTAAAGTATAAAACTTCAGATTGTTTGTGATATTGAAGGAGATGTCGTGCGTGTTATTTTGAGGCAGGTCATGTGTTGAAAGGCAACCCTTCATTCTGAAAGACACACTGAAATTTAAGCAAATGTTTGATGTGAAACCTTTTTTCCTATTGTTCTGATGGACAGTGAAACCCCATGCAACTCCTACCTGCTGTCCTATGCTGTCCTGTCCTGTCCTGTCCTGTCCTGTCTTGTCTTGTCTTGTCTTGTCTTGTCTTGTC